GAGGACGTGGTAGCCTTCAGTTCCTCCACCTGGGATTTCGACGCTAGGAGTGCCTCCCATGTTGCCCTGAATGTGTGTGTGTGTGTGTCAGGGTGGGCTAGTTGTGTTGGGTTAGCAGCAAGCGGCTTTCCAGCAGATCATGTCCGCGACACAAAGGTACCCTCTTTCTTGCGGTTCCTGGTTCCCAGTACTTCCGCAGTGGCGTGGTGCAACCCTCCGGCTTCACGCACGTTGCCGCACTACTGTACGGCATTAAATCGAGGCAGCACCCAGGTTTATCTAATAGTCTCTTAGATGAGGTGTAAGGCAGAGCTGTTCTTATGTCTTGGTGCGTTGGTGTCAAAATCTAGGACTTGAAACTTACACCTTTTGTTTGTACCATGCTCACATATTTCTAAATAAATCAGTTTTTAATAAAATTACCAGACGGACTCACAGCACACCTCATATCATGTTAAACCAGCACACAGGTAATGGTTTTGTCTCACAGTGATCTGCTGCACAGTGCAGTGTGTTTAATGAATCCAGTGACATACATAGTGCACTGGGGGAGGGGGGTCAGGGTGAGGAGGTCAGTAGGGCCCTAATAGTACGTGCCTACCAGCCCCAAAAGGGTTTGGTGCAAATCCAAGTGAAGTGTCATTTGAGACAGGTCAAGTCCATAACAGCAGCCCAAGTCATGTCTTCATAAGTAAATTGCCAGTAAAATGCAGGTCCCTGAGGTTGTTGAATGCTGATGAGGACATTTAACATTTTTGTAGAATCAATGGCAAGGCCCACTGAAGACACTTTATGTTGGTCTTTCCTTTGTCACCTGTCTGTATATAAGATAAGACCAGTTTAGTCTACATTTTTAAAAAGCGAGTAATGTTCGTCTTAACCAGTAAACTCCATAATCATTAAACATATATCTTAATAATCATCAGGAAAAACCTGAGCTTCATTTCAAACTAGTTTATTTTTTATATTGACCCCACTTGTTTTTGATTTGACTGCTCATGTTAGAGCAGGAA